GATAAATGGAGCAATCACCACTCTGACCTGTATTAAAAAGTTCCATTCTTCTCTGAAGCACACTCACTCACTGAGATGAATGGGTCACTTTACACGTCTTTGATAAGGCTGTTACCCTGGAAAGTCCTCTGAATGCACCATTTAGATTATTTCCTGGTAGACTGAACTATATTTGGGAAAACACAAGGAGAATAAGATGCAGGGAGCAGACACTTGCATTGTTGGTGGATCCACAAGCACTATCACCATCACTGTCAGCTTAAAAGATGCTTCCTCCAGACTCTCACCCATTGTTCTTTCTCCTGCAGCAAGGTCTCCTTTGTATTGGTACTATCACTTATGTGGCCAAGTAGTTAACCAACTGGCAGAACTGATTTAAATTAAAATTAACCTAATAAAAAGCCCCTCCAAACAACTCTGCTTTTTTTTTAAGTTCAAGGAAAGTAGTGAAAGAAATGGCAGAAATAGCAGCCAGGGAAGTTTATTTGAACTCAACCACCCAGCATGAACCTCCCGGTGCTGTGTACAACCCTCCCTCCATGCATTAGGCTCAAATGTATGGTATTGCCAACACAGCAATCCTGTGAAAATTACTGCAAAGCTGTATCATGCCTACCTGGATGACTTAACTACAGTCTTCTTCTTTGGGAAGAAAAACGAACAGTCTCACCCCAACTCTATGGCTAGGTTGATGTAATGGCAAGTCTGTTGGCCACAATAAACATACTGGCAGTCTCTGAACCGTCCTCTTGTATATACATTTTGGCACCACTTCCCTCCTGGCTTTTCCACTCCTTCTTATGTTATCTCATTCCAGTTGCTTACTCCACATCCAGAGATAAGAGCTGAGACCAAACTGCATCCAGTGACTTGTACATCTAAGAGATTTGAACTTTGTTAGAATGGAAATCTGGCTTATCTTCACTTTCCCAGCATGCAGGAACCTGCGTCCCGCAGGAAGTTATGTGAAACAACCGAGCAATGTAACAGCTCACCACAGCAAAAAAGGTTTCGCTCCTCTCTTCCTGCAGGAGTAAGCTTTGTGGCATGTAATTAAACTGGGCTGTCAGCAGCTAGCAGCACAGAATAGCCTACAAACATAATCCAAGATAGAGCTAAAAGATCAAGTGTGACCACATTCATGTTCATAAGTGTCTCTGAAAGTACTCAGGAATGTTTTACCAGCACATACCAGCTGTATGCTAGTAAACCAGCTGGTAAACCAGCATACAGACGCAATCACTAGCTAGACAAACATCTTAGCATTTACACTATTAAAACGTTTAAGACTGCAGTTCTTGCATCGGG